GTTGTCTAACCCAGGAAAGTTCAGAGTAGGCTGTACAAGAAAAGATTAGGGCAGCAGCTGCAAAATGTCAGCAGTGGCCCAGGCTCCTGCTTCCTCCATCACCAACCCTAGCATATGGTGTTTGTTTTCACTTTTGTGAAATGGTTTCTATAGTACCAGGTACCATGTCTACAATTCTGCAAGGAAAAAGGAAAAGGGGAATGGCAACAGGAGCTCTGTCCTTTCGTGGGGATGGGAGAATGTCTCATTACGTGGTCCAAGCTGGCCTTGAACTCTCAATCCTGCCTCAGCCTCCTGAGTGCTGGGGTGGCAGACATGCACAGCCACACCAAACTAGACTTGGCCTTTAATTCATGAGTTCCCACTGCCATGCATCTCACCGTCCAGGACTGTGTTGTGGATCACCTCCTGCTACAGAGGTACTGGGGAAAACTGGTTTTGTAGCTGAGGACATAGGTCTCTTCAAGCAGACTTCTGTTATTAAAAAGGCAAGATTGATTACTGGGTAAATAGCAATTGTCTGTCATGGCTACTAAATGTATTAAAGTAAAAATAAGTGTGAGAGGACTCATATGAAAGTTCTGTCACTTAGGGCTTAGGGACCATTGAGGAAGAAGAGTTAGAAAGACTGTAAGAGCCAGGGGTGGTGGATGACCACAAACCAAAAACAGTTTCCAAGACAGCAGGGAAGTTGCTTACATGAACTTACAGCAATAGTGACAGCATTCACAAGACTCATGCAAGCTCAAACCAGACAAAAATCCAGCATAAACATAGGGAAATGGGTTAAAGGCCCCAACCTTAGCTGAGGTTGGCAACCGATGACTACTGGGAGAAGAAAAGTTGATCTTCTTCAAGGGAGTGATGCTAGATAGGCTGACTGGGCTCCAGTGAATGGACTCACACCAAGGGACATTTGGGGACACAAATGGCTCAATAGGCCCTAACATGTATGACAGAATACATGAAATCCAGTAAGTGAGGGCTATGGAGGGGTGCAGATAGGCAAAAGTGTCTAAATATGATCAAGATGTATGAAATTCGCAAGAATTAAATTAAGACAAACAGCAAAGACACGTGAGCTATAATACCTTCCACCCGAGGATGAACTGAGGCCAGTGAAGTTGTTAACTATTGTCCCACAATTTCCTCCTCTTCCATTTCCCCAACAATCTTTAAAAAAAAATACTGGGTGTTTTCTGCAAGAAACAATATATTCTAAAATGAAATGGAGATCTTTTTTAAAGGTTAAAAACTCACTCAATTTTATGTCTTACAGGGCTTATACTGAGTTCAATATTGTATAACTGTATTAATTCAACTGTGAACCTAGAAACTTACAGCCACTTGTGAAAGAGATGTACTCTTGCTCTGGAGTGTGTTAGTGAGTCTGTTAAAGCTGTAATGAAATGCTTCTTCTAATCATGTAGTTATTAAAAACTAAAAAAAAAAATACTGGGTGTAAGGTGCATTTTGTTTCAGAAGAGTTGAAACAGAGAAAGAACAGAGTGCTTTGTGTGAAGGAAAAGATTGTGCCTACTGTGTTTCTATTTGGATTCCAGTGTCCAGCCCAACACATGAAGTGTCCTTGGCAGCTTTCTGCTGCCCCAGGGGAAAGCTCTCTGTCACCTGGGGCTGCCCATCAGGCCAAGTGTTCTTTGTGTCCCTGCCTCCCATGCAGGTTCGTCCCCTGCCACACATGCCTGGGCACCACAGGTCCAGACCAGGCCACCTCTGCAGAGTTTAAAAACAGCTCTGGGGTATGACTCATCTTTCTTCCTGAAGCTAAAGTCACAAACATCACTGGAATACTTAATTGTTTAATTTTTCCTGCCCTGTGTATTTGATTTGCTATAGTATTGGCTAAGTTTCTATCTAATACCCCATTAATTTTTTTCATGTAAGTGAAAGTAACCCTGGTAACTGACCCTTCAGGCTTTTCTCGTGTGACACTAGGGTGCTGTGTCTGTCTGTCCTCTGCCTCTTAAAACACATTTTCTGCTTAATCTTTTAAATATCAACACATTCCCTTCTGTTTGCTTCTTATATGACCTTCATGACTTTTTCTTTCTAATATAAACAAATACAACTATGTTCTCAGTTTTCATTGTTTTTCTTTTAAAAAGAAATGAGTATAGTCCATACCTGTGCTCATAACCAATTGATCAACCTTCTAGCTCTTTCCATAACAGTGTTAACAATTCATAATGGAGCTTCCCCTTTCTTCTTAAGCTACACAGCGTTAGAGTGATCTCTTTGAAGTGCAAACCTGGCTGTGCCTCCCTTTTTTAAACAGAAGTAGTGTCACTTACATTTTATTCCTTACAGTACTCTGTCAACCATCAGTGTTGTTAGGGAGCTATCCCTTGATTTCTAAGCATCATTAGTGTTAATGATGTTTTTGCATTTTAGCATTCTGATTAATTTTTACACAACATTAAGGTTTTAATCACGAGGAAGAAAGCTGTTGAGACCCAAACAGCCTCAGATACTGCTTATGGTGGTATAAACTGCTGTGCTCTAAAAAGTAGGTGTAGGAGCCTGAAAAATGCTGGAGAGTCCCTTACAGTACCTGTTATGGTGGTACACGCCAGCAGGATATGCTAAGAGGCCAAGGCAGGAAGATCAGGAGTTTCATTCATAGGGCTTGGACCTTAAGTAGTATTGGGAGATACCGGGAGGATTGATAAATCAGTGGCCTAACGTTTGTATCCCTTCAAACATATATTCCGATTCCCTAATTAGGAAGTGGCTGTTGGGAGGTGAGCGTCGGAATTAGAACCCTTATGAAAGAGGCCCCAGGGAACCGCCTTGTCTGTTCATCTGTGCAGGAAGGCCCTAACTAGACACCTGTTCTGCCAGTGCCTTGATTTTGGGCTTCTCAACCAACAAGATGATGTACTTAAGTGTTCTGTGTACGTACAATAAAACACTGTGGCTCATAACATCATGGTCTCGAATGAGCTGAGGTGTTTCAGGAAGGATTCAGGGACTTGCAGTGGTATGCTGGCATGCATAGAGCATGCTGTGTGTGCCCTGCTCAGAAGCAAGGCTTCAGTGAAGTAATGGCATGGGCCCAGATTAGTGCTGCCAGCGATTGGGTTTATTATGCATTGAATTATTTTTTGGTCTGTTGAAAGTTCAAAAATTTTTTCCTTTCTCTCTCTCTCTCTCTCTCTCTCTCTCTCTCTCTCTCTCTCTCTCTCCCCCCCCCCTTTTTTTTTTTTTTTTTTTTTTTTTTTTTGTGTGTGTGTGTGTGTGTGTGTGTGTGAGCGCCATAGCGCTCACATGCAGAGGCCGGAGAAAGATACTAGGTGTTTTCCTATGGGCAGTTGTTAGCTTCCATGTGGGCGTTATGATTTGAACCTGGGTCTTCAGTGTCCTGGCCTTTTTTTTTTTTTTTTTTTTTTTGCAGTTCCCATGTTTAGTAATGCACCTCCTTATGGGGGTCATGACTCACATTTTAACTCTTTGGGATCTAGTTCTATCCCTCTGAATTTTTACATCCTCCCATTACCTGGGATATTAGGATTATAGGCCACTATTCTTATGATTTCTAAATGCAAATAACTTTTTTGTAGTTAAGCTGAATTGTGAAGGACATTGTGCCTGCTCAGAGGTGTTTATGCTCCTTCAGGGACAGAGGGAGGCTACTAAAGAATGATTTAAGGCAGGTGAAGGATGTCAAATGTTCTTAAGAAGAATATACATTATCAGTAGGACCTTGGTCAAAAAATAGGTAACCACTTTTGACCTTAGTTTTCTTATCTGTGTGATTAAAAACAAAATTACCAACGAAGGTTTCTTGGGAGAAATAAAGTAGAATGGATGATTCTTTTTTGTTTTCCTAATTGAAGTTTCAAAACGACACAAACACATTTCTGGAATTATATATCAGTGAGGGAAAACAGTTAACTTTTCCAAAATGGAAAAGGGCTTCATTGAAGAAATCAAGAGGCCATTGTCTGTTGGGACTTAATCCCACACGGTGATTCTCTATGTCTTTGAGCTTAGGGATGTTCTGTTTTGCTGACATTTTATTTGTGTCCATGTAACCCCTACAGCCACACCATCTTGTTAGCCCATCCATTTATGGACTTCATCAAAACTCTGCTTCTAGTATATCATAGGTTTCCAACCTCTGGGCCACATACCTAATTGGTGATTTTAAGGGATTTGGAGGATGGGTGGAGGAAATCTGTATGTGAGAGTTTTTCCCTCAAGCTTTTAGGCTATTTGACATCTCAAAATGAGCCTTTTGGACATTGTAAATTTTACCTCAAGTCCTTAAGTTTTGTTTTGTTTTTTAATGCAGATTCCCCAGGTCTTTAGAAAAGGGAAACTTCTTTTATCTTTAACATGCTGGGTCTGTGACACTGAATATTGTGTCTCATGTAAATACATACCAAGTTAACATCGATGTGGGTAACATCCTAAGGACCTGAGGATGCTTCTGCAGGTCCTGAGGAGAACACCTGACCCCTAGTAACTGAAGAGGGAACCATGGAGGATCAGAGTTCATGGTTAACTCTCACCTCAAAAGTGAGAAATGTTTTCCTCTTGTGAATTGATGAAAGGATTCTTCTGTGGTCGTGGTTATAGCTGTGGAGTATGTGGAAGAGGCTGTGAAGGGAATAATAATGTTGCTGCTCACACCAGTCACTGAAATGTTGACATCTCAGATAGGATATACGTAGCTTCCAAATGGTCCTGGGTGGAGGGAGTGCTCCTGACTGTAAATGTCAAACTTCTTGCAGTGGGGAGGATGGAGTGGCCATGGCCTGTGAGAGCTAAGTGGGTCCCTCAGCTCACCTGCCGCCTCATCCTCTGTTTTGCTGGCAGTCAGGATTGAGCCTTGGTGTTCTGGGCCTGATGGCCAGTGAGGGCAGCAGCTGTACACCTCCCCTCTGGCCATGAGAAATGCAGTCCAGTTGAACCTGGAAATGCATACATGCTGTTTCATTTAAGCATTTTGCCTTATTTGTGTGCCTTTTCTCTAGATAAAGAAGAAGCAACAAGATGTGGTTAGATTTTTGGAAGCCAACAAGATAGAGTTTGAGGAAGTGGATATCACCATGTCAGAAGAACAGAGACAATGGATGTACAAAAACATCCCCCCTGAGAAGAAGCCTGCCCAGGGCAACCCTCTGCCACCTCAGATATTCAGTGGTGACCGGTACTGTGGAGTAAGTGGCTCAACTGTTCCCTTGTGATTTTGCAGTGTTACCTATAGGGTGATCAGAGTGCAGTTAGGTCCCTTACGATAAAGACTGTGACTTTAGGTAGTGGCTGTTCAAGGCCGTAGTCTAACAGAGGATGCAGCCAAGAGCAGATGTGAAGTCAGCATTGTACACGGTGTTCTGTTAGAGAACTGTGTGGTGTGTGATGTGAGTGCCAGGGTGTCTGTCAGTCATCCTGCCCCATCTTTACTCCATTAATACATTTGGGGGCCAGGGTGAAGGAGGTAATTATTCTTGAGTCTTTGTTCCCCTACAGTAAATAAGCTCTTGATAGCCAGTTATAAACAAGAGTTCCTTTGTTTAAAATATTATGAACAGAAGATGTGAACATCTAAAACCTTCAGTGCCTTCCTACTGTGCACTGAGTATATGAGAAAGAAGCGGATCTGTCTAGTTGTCTGCCTTGCTTATTTCTTAGGTCAAGAAAAAAATTTGAGAAACTTCCTCCTAATGAGTATTTAGGAGTTTGCCATAGCTCTGCACTACACATAGTGTTTATTTGGGGACTGCTATTCTTTTAAGGAGCTACATCGCTGGGGTGTTTGAGAGCAAAAGGCTGGGTTGTCATTAGGGTGAGGAAAAGGGGTAACAGTACAGCTAGTGGCTACAGAGGGACATACAGCTGCATACATGCCGGATGGCCTCCTCCGCAGTGTGTAGTTTGATGAGCAAAGTCCTGCAGTGAGACACTCAGCAGAACCCACGCTCTCACATGTTTTCTGTGGCACCTCTGAAAACTTGTTTATCATTCTAAAACTCAGTTTTCTCATGTTTAAGCTCACTATGTAGCTGGAGTCCCGAGCCTCCTGTCCACCTGCCAGGGGCTGGGTTTACAGGTGCACACCACCATTCCTGGCGGGTTTTGTTTTGTAGTGCTAGGGGACAAATCCAGGGCTTTGTAAGTGCAAGCAAGTGCACTACACTGAGCTACACCCTAGCTCTAGGCGTTTCTTCTCTTTAAGCAAGGATTATCTGTGACTATTTCCAAAGCACTTCTTAAGTATGTTATTATATGAAAATAGGGGTTAGGATTTGTCTTTTTTAAAAAATATAATGAATGCCGGGCATAGTGCTGCACTCCTTTAATCCCAGTACTTAGAGGCAGAGGCAGGTCAATCTCTGAGTTTAAAACCAATCTGTTCTACATAGTGAGTTCCAGAGCAGCTAGCTGGGGCTACAGGGAGACCCTGTCTCAGACCTCCCCCCAAAATAATAATAATAAAACAATACATTTCATGAGCTCCTGTTGTATTGGGGAAGTTTGTGGTAACCAGGTATATATGACTCATGATGGCCAAGGTTTATGTTTAAAAAACAATTACTTTTGCAAGTAGCCCAATAAAATGTGATAGAAAGCTTAAAACAAAAATCCAGTGGTTGTCTTTCTGTCAGACATTGCTGATCTAAAAATGCCTTTATTCTGTTTTTCTGGTTTGAGGAATAGTTTCTGGACAGAATTGTAGGCGGGGAAGAACTTTGATGGTATTGTTTTGTTCTCTCTGGTTGGCAGTGATGCGTTGAGAGGCCTTTGATGGTTTGTCAGTTTCTGCTCTGGCAGACTTTAAGGTCTTACTCTAAACTTGCACATTCTAAACTTGTTTGTGTTGCTGTCATGTGAACTATTTTTCATTTTTTGTTCAGAGCTCTTAGTGTGCTTTTGTAACCTAAGAAATTGCAGGAACAGACTATTAAATATGCTCTTACAGTATTTTCTTTAAAAATTTTGTTTCTTCCCTCCTCCATTTTCTTGAATGCCCATTAATCTGGGTGCTGGGTTTTGAACTCCCTGTTTTCTGATGTTGTTATCTTCCGGTCTGTTACCGGCTCTTGTGACTTACGTCATTTCCTGTTTCTTGCTGCTTTTCGTTTCCTTTTAAATAATGTGTTTTATGGTGTGAATTATGGTGTGAATGTTAGGTCTTAAGTCAATGAAGGTATTAAATGCAATTTGAAGTTTTCTTTTGTAACAAGTCTTGTCCCTATTGAATAGAGCTCTTCCTCCCTTCCCCTCTCCTCCTCCTTCCTTTCTTCTCTCCTTCCTCTCTCCCTTTCCGTTCCTTTCTTTCTCTTTCTGTTGCTTGTTCTCCATGCTTTCTCTCTTTCTCTGTCCCTTTCTCTCTCTCTTTCTCTTTCTCTCTCTTTCTTTCTCTTTCTGTTTCCCTCTCTTTCTCTCTCTCTTTCACTTTCCCTCTCTCTTTCTCTTTCTCTTTCTGTTTCCCTCTCTTTCTCTCTCTTTTTCTTTGTCTTTCTCTGTCTCTTTCTCTTTCCCTCTTTCTCTTTCTCTTTCTCTCTCTTTCTCTTTCCCTCTCTTTCTCTTTCTTTCTCTTTCTGTTTCCCTCTCTCTTTCTCTCTCTCTTTCTCTTTCTCTTTCCCTCTCTCTTTCTCTTTCTCTTTTTCTTTCTCTTTCTCTGTCTCTTTCTCTTTCCCTCTCTTTCTCTTTCCCTCTCTTTCTCTTTCTCTTTCTCTTTCTCTTTCCCTCTCTTTCTCTTTCTTTCTCTTTCTCTTTCCCTCTCTCTCTTTCTCTCTCTTTCCCTTTCTCTCTCTTTCTCTTTCTCCTCTCTCTCTGTCTCTTTCCCTCTCTCTCTCTCTCCTTTTCTCTCTCTTATTTCTTGGTACTGGAGATTGAGCTGCAGCCCTACACAGCTGAGCTCTACTGTGGAGATGTGCTTCCCCAGCCTGCTGCGGTATTTTTTCTCCGGCATGGCAGGCTTCTCTTAGAAGTTCATATAAAAATCTTTTAGTTCACGTTGTAGAAAGCTATGTGTGCCTGCTTGTGAATGCTGGCTTATTCTGGGAGGACAGTGCTGTAGCATGACTGAGCAGCCTGCTAGCCTGCTTCCTTCTGTCCTGTGGTACCTGCAGGTCTTTCTCAGATGAGAACAGCCACTCAGTCTCTTGCTTGGGAATGTCATCCTGGCCCCTGTGTTTGAGCACCTGAGGGTGAGGGAGCTAGGAGGTCTGTTGTGCACACTGACTTCATGTTCCTGTTTCCACCCATTCTCTCCAGGGCTGGAGTTGGGAACTCTTTTGCTTCCTGAAGGCATGTCTTTCCATAATGTATCTTCTGATTTCTTGGAGGAGAGAGACCCCTGGGAATGGAACCACCGCTTAGTCTGCAGTCTTTACCGCCTGCCCCCTTCACAGCAGCCATTGTGTCCACTTCCTGACCTTGGCTTGGACCCTGTGGCTTGCTTCTGCACACAGGCGTCCTCTGCTCCAATGTCCATCACTGTTTCTCCATCACTTCTGCCTGTGTTGAGGTTCAGGCCTGTCGATGTTTCCGTCTGTGTCAAAAAATGGAGCTCGTGCTTCTAATTTTAAGATCCTTGTTTTGTTGACCTTTTGAGAAGTAGAGGCTCAGTTGCTCTGTCATAAAGTGTCTTCAGAGTCTTTAGAGCAGGGGAATGTATTGGGTGGATATAGACTAATGTGAAAAATGGTTAGCTTTGTTCTTGTTTTTACCTTGGTGATTTCCAAGTCTCCCTATTCCTTTGCTCTGCCATCTATGGGATGTTTCCAGGTAGACTGGTGGTTGGCCTTCATATTGATGCAGCTGTGCCAGATTCATGGCTGCTTCTCTGCAGCAGTGATGTCCCTGACCTGATTTCACCAAGACTTGCACAAGCCAGTGAGACTGTGTAAAGGGGTGGATGGCAATCCGGAAGCCTGCTGGAACCCTTCAACTGCTAACAAAAGGGAGAGTTATAGGGTAGACAGATGGCTCAGCCATTAAGAGCACTTGTTGCTCTTGCAGAGGACAAGCATTCAGTTCTCAGCATCTACATGGTGTCTCACACCCCCTATAACTCCAGTTCCAGGAGATCTGATGCACTCTTCTGACTTCTGCAGGTATTGCCTGTATGTAGTATACTTATAATCAGGGAAAACATTCATATACATAAATAACAATAATCTTTTTTGAAAAGCGAAAGCTACAAAGGTGTGAAGGCCAGTGTCAGTGTGAGTCTTTCCATAAGACTTTCCATTTCTCCCTGTCTGTATCTGACATGTCCAGAGTGACCACTTGGCCTCTCAGACCACTGGAGCATCTGTGGGAGCTTGCAACAGCTGGAGTCACGCTCTGAGAGGCCCCAGCTTTGCCAGGACCTGGATGGACTGACTGCCTTGGCCTTTGTAAACGCACCTCTTCCCATTCTGGTCTTTGCTGTCTCCCCTTCCCACACCACTGGCCTCACCTTTTCAGGCTCCGAGTTCTGCAGGGATTGCTTGGAAACCTTGGTCTTCTGTAGTTTGGGGTGTGTGTTCCCTCTCCTGTTTTCTCTACAGTCCGGTTGAACTTGCTGTGTGTTCTGGGTATCTAGTGATGTTTTATTGCACTAATTTCCCCCCTGACTTCAGATGGCCCGGGTGAGACAAGAGGTACCGCATTTGCCAACCCCGCATCCTGATCCAGTTTGCTCAGAAATGCTAACATGGATTAGGAGTCTGAAATCTTCAGTGTCTGGCATAGAATTGCTGAATGGGGCTGTTTTTTTTAGGTAACTACATCTGACCCATCCTACCAGGATTGGAGCTACCAATCTTTATCAAATCTTTATCAAGATTTCACAAATAGAATATAGCATTAACAGCCCTGAGCCATTAAATTAAGAAATTCCACTTGGAGGCTACTCTTAGGCCCAAGAGGAATGTTAAACAGGAGTAGCAGGAGTCTCTGTCCATTTTAAGCAGCAGCTGCAGCTCCAGTAGCCTGAAAAAGTTGAGTTTTTAGGGACTGAAGAGATGGCTCAGTGGTTAAGAGCACTGGCTGCTCTTGCAGAAGACCTGAGTTCAATTTCTAGCACCCACATGGCAGCAAAAAACAGTCTAAAACTCCAGTTCCGGGGAATCTGGTGCCCCCTTCTGACCTTCACAGGAATTGCACAACACAGGTGCCCCTACCTACATGCAGGCAATACATTCATACACATAAAATAAAAATAATA